AACTGAAAACTGCTAGGACAGCTTGGCCTTAGGGAGGGGGAATGTAGAAGATGTCACACAATGGGGCCCACACCCACTCAGATGTCAGAACACTGCATTTCCCATTCTGCTGACCATATACTCAACAATTTCAGGCACTATAACCAGCAAAGCAACTAAACAGATCAACATAACTCGCCACCAATCCTACCAATGTTCATACCAATGGTAGGTTGCTTTAGGTCTCATGTACACTACCAACACTGGCTGTACAACATAAAATCTGGTATATTTCCCCAGACAGGGAGCCACAGATGACACATACAGCCTCCCATAGAATTCAGTGGCTGTGCACAGGTATACGCCAGACTTGTGTAAGCACTAGGGATGCAACTAACGATTATTATCATAATCGATTAGTTGGGCGATTTTTTTAAATTGTATTTTGTAGATTAATCGGATAAAATAAAATACACAAATGCAGTGTTACAAACATAAAGTTTACTTCAGAATAGAACTGCATGCACAATTTTTTGCAATTGCACCGCACATTTCAGTGCAGGCGATCACACTGCGGACGGGAGGCACGTTTGGGGTGCCACTGAAATGAATTCCTGCAGCAGAATTTGTCAGGCTGAAAGTGACTTCCCACCTTTTTTTTTTATTTATATTTTTAATAGCCGTTTGTATTGTATTAGACATTTTAATTAGTTTCATGGATTTAAAATAATATGAATTGAAAAACTCCAAGCCACTACAGGTATTCCTCACTTAACGACCGAGTTCCGTTCCTACGACCAGGTCGTTAAACGGATTGGTCGTTAAGTGAGGAACTCTATACAGTACTATACTGCATTAGTACAGTACTGTATAGCGTTGCCGATGTACAGTACCGAACAGTGTACTGTACATCCGGCAATGGAAATACTTACCGAGACCTGCAGTGAAGATCGGGGGATGTCTCTTCCGCCGGTGACCCGTCGCACTGACGCTGACGGTCGGAGGTCGATCGGCGGTCCGTCGTAAGTGCGAGTGGTCGCAAAACAGGTAAGTCGGTAAGTGAGGAACATCTGTATAATAAAATAACCATTTTTTTTAAAATAACACAAAAATTTGACAAAAAATACAATTCTATATACTGTATGTATAATAATATTTATGTCCAGTCATCACTGGAGTTAGCCATGAATATTGTCCGGAGAATCATTGCTCTCACTCTGGCGCATATGGCGATACCTGACATGCAGCACCATCGTCATTCTCATACCTAAGTGCACTCGACTTGTGTTTCCATTAGTATGCGCGTGTCTCGGGGTCAGGGGACTTTACATTTTATTTTTTTAATTTAATTTAACTTTTTTATCTTTTTAACTTCATTGCAATCACATGGGGGGCCTCACAAGACCCCTGTGTGATAGCACATTGAATATGACGGGTTCTCTTTAAGGTGATATTAGGGGTCTATTAGACCTCTAGTGTCACCTTTCCACTTCAATAGTTTTAGCTGGGGTCAGCGCTCTCTGCAGGGAGAGGATCGGGAACTCAGCGAGCAGCGGTACGTTTTCGCTCACTTACCGATCTAAAGAGTTGATGTGGGACAGTTTTGGGGATGAGTGTAATTCACTGACCTCCATAGTTCTCCTTTTTAAAGGTAAGTGTGACAGAACACTCCAGACAAGGAATCCTTTTCATTTCAATGGCTCCTAAGTGTTGTGTCACAAGCAGGCTATTGACATCTGCTGGATTACAGCGCTTTTTAGTCCCATAGACTTCAATGGGAAACTTTGTGTGAACAGGGGCCATAGAAATGAATGGGAGTGTTTTGTCACACTCAAGGCAAGCGTTTGGGAATCCTTGTCTGTTTTGTCTCTCTTCACATTAACATTACAGCCAGACAGCTTGCTTTTTCACAAGGAATTCAGAATGGCAACCCTTGTATTTCTTTCATGACAAGTTTACTTTAAAGATCCATCTAATGTCCACCCAAAAATCTGATGCTTTTTGTTTCCGTCTATTACTGATAATGTCGGAAGGCAGACTGAGAGCAAGAGTGGTAATGTATCTAAAGTGGTAGGAAATTGATATATTATTAATTGTGCCATTCTGCCTCTTAAGTTGTTTGTGTCCTGGAATATATATATATATATATACATACATACATACATACATACATACATACATACATACATACATACATACATACATACATACACACACACACACACACACACACACACACACCCACACACACACACACACACACACACACACACACACACACACACACACACACATATATATATATATATATTATAAAATTAGTGACGTTAAGCTAAAATGTTTTTTAAATGCTGATTAAATCACTTACAATGGAAGTTATATTATATATTGTAACTGTGATGTGTCCTATTTCTATGTTTAGGACTCTGCTGTCTACAGCAAAGCATGCTGGATGTTGTAGTTTCTTGATTTATCTTGATACAAATGTGTACTTATTCCTGTGTGTAAAATCCTAGAAGGAAGTCCGAAACAACACTGGAGCCACTATGTGCAGTTTAAATGGACACTGTTGGTGTTTCCAAGTCTTCAGCATGACAATACTTCACACTAAACAGCAAAGACTTATAGGGAATGCTATTTCTGCCTCTTGTGCAATCGCATACCCGAAATTCCTTGGTCACGCTAAGATAACGTTGGTGTATTATGTGCCTCTGTGCATAACTTTTAGGAGTAACTTTAAATATGCTCTTTTGCAGTTTAGGGGTTAAGGCTCCTTTTCTGAAAATACTTTTATTTGCAGAGACATTTGAAGAAGTGCAGGCAAACAAAAAAAAAAGGTGCAGAGCAGGAGAAGCCCCGCTGCAAGGGTTAAAGAAGAACTTCGGACAAATAAAATCTTGACCCTTGCAGTGGGGCTACCCAGTTATCGATTTATAGAGCCGATGTATCACAGCTGCAGTGTCGCACGCTGGCTCAAACTGTTGGGAAGAGTATATTTTACCCTCCTAATAGTTCTCCTTTAATGCTGTGTGTCTCCAAAGACATGCTGGTAGGATAATTGGCTCCTGTCTAAATAGGCCCTGTATGTATGCATCTAAGATATGGACCTTGGATTGTCAGCTCCTTGAGGCAGGGACTGATGTGAATGTGCAACTATGTAAAGCGCTGCGTGTATTGACGGCGCTATATAAATACCTGTAATAAATAATAATACTCAAAGGTGACATTGTGCATTGTATGATTCTGTTGTTATCACAATGAGATGGTTTGTTATGCTGCCGCGTTGCACAATACATCGAATGTATTCCTGCCCCAATGAAAGAATGGTCTTCTTTCCCTTCTATAGGGAGGAAAGACAAGTAAGGTTAATGACTTGAAACAGGTCATACTAGCTGAGATGATGTGCATCAACGTATAACGGCTATCCCATTTCATTACCGGAAACACAGCCCAGTCATTGTCCACCGCTCACTAGGTTTACTCAAACAAATACAAATCCTAGTTCATAGTTTCTTATCAGACGTTGCAGTCATTAGCACATACAGTACCTCTCTACTGTCCTGTATCGGTAGGACAATCCTGTAGCCCCAGTTTGGCCCAGATGTAGGTGGATCAGTTGATGTTTTCTTGGTTAGACCAGACTAGGATTTGGTCCCTAAGTTTGGATGTGGGTACATTTGCAAGTCTAAGGCATTGGGTAATTGAGGGCATAGTATTCTGTTTAGGCTTTTCTTCTTCATCTTCTTTTTTTTTTTCTCTATAGGTTGGACTCGATGGACTTGTGTCTTTTTTTTTCAACCTGACTAACTATGTAACTATATGTAAGGCCAGCCATACACTGTTAGAATGCTAGCAGATTCAGTTTGTGTCACTTCAGTCAACTTTTGTTAAAGGAGCCATGCAGAAAACATTTGGCCAATAAGCTGCAGCTACTGTTTGTGTTCTGGCTGGTGCCGGCTGTCCTATTCCAATAGTTGGTAAAATCAATGAGTGTATGACCAGCTTGGCTCTCATGTTCTGAAATGTTGTGGCTTTCTGCCACTTATCTAGTATACTTTAACAGGCCTGTCCTGTATCTGGCAGACACAGTGGGCAGGATCACCTACATAATGCATGCATGCCAGTTTTCTCTCTGTTGATTTAAGTTAAACAGACCCTTCTTTATTGTCATGTCATGTAGGAGTCTTTACTAAAGTACAAATGACGGCTCCTGTATGACAGTCTAAACCAGTACCAAATCCAGTCATTATGTAATGTACAAACCTGCTAAAGTAAGCAAAACATTTCCTTTCCCTGAGTGAGTCAAATCCTTCTTCATTTGTGTTTCACATGCTCCCCCTCCCAGACACTGCAGCTCATAGTGTGAGGTTTTCAGCAACAGTGGTTATCAGGACTAAGGGCTTGTTCACACCATGTCCGGACGAAAACAGTTTGTTCCCGGACCAAGAAAGCATCCCAATGCAACCCTACGCTATTTCTGGGCTCTGTTCACACCAGCGCAGTCCATTCCTGACCAGACAAACAAATACTGCTCGTCTTATTTTCTCTGGTCTGGAACACATACAAATGCATGCACACGCACTGGACTGCACCTCTAAGCCCATTTTAAGCTAAAAAGAAAACAAAAAAGAAACGCAGCACAATCGTGGTTAAAAATGCAGCAAAACGCACTGCACTGCATTTGCAATTCTGCTCCAGACATGGTATAAACATAGCCTCAGTGTGGTCACGTGCTGACCAGATACAGGCTTGTGAATCAGGAGTGGCAATGCTGCTAGCCATACCCCTGCAACATTTAACTATCCTACTGTTATGCAAGCAGGTACAGCCAACATGTGAGTAGCAACTCTGCTCTGAATGCAGGAACACTGCAGTATTGTTGCCACACTATCCCCAGAAGCTGCATTAGGTGACTTTAGGCCCCTTTCACACATTGTCATTGTGCGAACGCAAGCTTTCATGCAACGCATTCATTGTTGGTTGTTAATGGCACCCCAAACACGGCTGGTATAACATGCACAAATGTGTGGTCAATAAAAATGCGCAAAGCTTCTTTGCCATGTTTGTTGCGTGTGCAGCTGCCCTGTGTTTGTGACACATCAGCCCATTTCAGACAGGCACAGAAGCAACATGTGATCACATGCACCACAAGTGTATGCGAAGTGTGAATGGGGCCTTACTGGCAGATAGTTGTGGGACTTGCACATGTAATTAAGTGCAGCACTTTTTTTTTTTTTCTACTGTAGGCCATAGTTCTATTTTTACGAGTGAGAGTAGTGTAAAAAACCGCCTCTACCCGTCCATTCATATAATATAATGTATATATTTTAAATGTTACATTTCCATTTTTACTGTCTTATCAACCTGACTGCCCGTTTTGTATTTAAAATCACTATATTCATTCATTTTTTTATTTTTTTTTTACTTTGTTCGGAAAGATGACTAAACGTGCTCAGGCACAGTTGGAATCTTTTGAATGTTTGAACGTATCTGTAACAAATTTGGGTGTGTTAACATTTAGACGTTCATTGTATGGGCCTTGTGATGGACTGCATGGAGAAACTGTTGCTGCTTGAAAACTCACTTCCTCTTGGTAACGTAGACAGAGTGACTCATTTCTGTCAGTTACAGATCAGAGGGGTGGTTCCTCACTAAGATTTCATTTTTGCCTTTTGGTTTGCTCATGTGTGATAACCGGATTTCCATGTCCCAAACTATCCGGGTTATACTTGTGTAGGTAATAGTACTGAATTTATTCTGCTTATATTTTGACTTCCCTTGTTTTTTCTCTCCCCTGTCCCCATCAACTTGCTAATAAACATATCTAAATAAAACCTTTCTGTGTTTAACACATTCTGTATTTTCAGAGCAGGGCTCTAAAATTCCCCATACCAGGAGCTGGGTAGCCAATGTAACTTCTAAAAATGACAGCTGGCACCTCTAGTTGTCAATGGAGCTGGCTACTAAAAAAAAATGATAAAGCAGAACCCTGGGTACATTTTTTTTTTAACCCTTGCAGTGGGGGGGGGGGTTATCCCCTCACTGCAAGGGTTGAGTGCTCATCTTCGTCTAGGTGCTAAAAGAAACTCTGTATATACGCACCTGAACCCATGAGCCAGCTGGCTCTTAAGGTGCCCATACACTGTACGATTCTCGTACGAGAATCGCAGGAAATCCCGCGATCGTACGAGATTTGCACAGTGTATGGAAGTTTCTACTGTACGGTCGCACGTCTTCCGTCGAACAAGCAGGCTTGAAAACCCGCCGAGACTCGTACGATTCTCGGCTGGTTAGTGATCCTCCACACCCCCGCCTGCAGTGGTCTAAGATCCAGTGAATCACATTCTATACATAGTGTTTAAGATGTGAGGACACCGAGGGTCATACCTTCGTTGGAGCAGAGGAGAAGAGAAAGAGGCTTTCAGACCAGAGTAGCAGCCAGCTGCCTCAGATGAGACTAACTTTTTTTTAGCACCTAGACAAAAAGGATTTAACTAGCCTTTTAGGCAGCAAATCTTGTATAGGGAATCTGTGGGCATAG